CAGTTTGACCCAGTTGGAAATAATCAGCTCTAAAAGTGATGTCTTGCAATGACGTGCAATATGAAAAGGCGTAATTCTCTATGGAAGTCAAAGTGGCAGGCAAGTCCAGTGATAAAAGAGACGAACAACTTTCGAAAAACGAACGACCAATGACTTTTAATGTGAGTGGGAAAGTGACGTACAATAAACTTTTAAAAGCGACAGAATGGTCGACATACTTCAATGAAGTGAGATGTGGCGGAAGAATTAAAGTTGTTATTTGACTAAGTGGCTCAAAGTCTTTTTCGTTTCTAAAGTATGTTAGTTTGTTGAAATCAAAATCTTTTGCGTAAATGTCTGTGAGAACAACGCACTTGTTGTTGGTGGAAGTGTTGTATAAAAATATGTCCTTTTCATCATATGAAACATTTTTGTATAACACACTGTGGGGTTTAACAGTTTGACTCTTTTTAACAGAAAACCAAACAACTTTTTGATAGAATTTTTCATAGTCGAATTGGTTATCATTATTTGAATAGATGTGCAATGTCTCCAAATTCGGGAAAAAGGGCCGAGTGTGGGTTGTTAGAGGAATTGGGTTAAAATGAAATTTTGAAAGAAAATTGTTGTATTTTTTGGAAACTTGTTGGAGGAAAAGAAAATCCGTAATGGAAACAAAGTACTTGGCTACGATCATCATATGAAATGGGTCTATACAACAAGTGTTCATCAATTTATTATTGTTTAATGAGTTGAAAAATCAGAATTAAATAAAAAATTAAAATTTTTAATTAAAAACATGTTTTAAAAAAACTCAAAAATAATTTATTTAAATTGGTATTTTTGATTTTGTTGTATTAATGTATTAAAATTATTGTTATTATATTATTATAACAGATATGGTCAAATCAAAAATGTGTTGATTTGTTAAACAGGTTTTATTACAGATAGAGTATTTAATGGGTGCCAGAAACTAAATTGGTGCCAAGAAATTAGATTATTGATTGATGTAAAAATACGGGTATTATTTTATTTGTTTTTTATTTGTTTTTTTTTCTTGATAATAATAATAATGAAAATGGGTGCCAAATTCATTTCATATCTTAAATTAATTCTGGCACCCAATAAGTTTTTGGCACCCTGTAAATACTCGATCTGTATTTGTGTATTTTTTTCTGTGAACTAAATATACCATCAAATCGTTTTTGTTTTAATGTATTTTTTGAATAACAAAAACTCAACTTACTATTTTTTATTAATATTAAACTATTTATTACTAAAGTATAATGATAATTAAATTTCTATATATAATGTAACAATAAAAACCAAATACAGTAAAGGAATGGAAAAAAACCGCTTTTGATAATTTTTAGTGAATAATGGTAAAATGTTTTCTAAATGTTATTTGATTTTATTTTTTTATTTAAACAAAAAGAAAAAAAAACATCATTTTCATTTTGCCTGAGCATTGTTTCGAAGTGTTTAGAAGAAGGCTGTTAAAGTCTATTTATATTACGGTTAATAGTTGAGTTATTCCAGAATTTATTTGTAAATAAACGGGATAATAAAGACATTAAACCAAAAATACAAATTTAAAAATAAACATAAAGTATGATAATATTAATAAATAAATAAAACAAGAATGAATGTTGTTATCTTTGTTATCGGCTTTTTCCTTGTCGTCACTTTAAATTTATCACTTTAATATCATTTTCTTCATTGTGTTGCTGTCTAATATAAACTGTATTCCAAAACTCTGTACCGTTTCCAAAATTTATATAAACCCTTTGTCCTAATTTCTCGTTATTTACTATTTTTTATTTGTTTTATTTTTTATTTTTCTATTTGTTGAACCAACAACGGTACACAGTTTCAAACCCTCAAAAATCAATACAGTTTCAATTATCGAACAAAAAATCGGGAAATCACCCAAATATTGGGTAAATCTTTCCCGATTTTCCAGGTTCGTTATATAGTCAGTGGTTTATTTTGTGACTAAACGTGAGTAAAATTCTATCTTTCAAATAAACACAAGATAAACGACAATATAACGATAAACAAATGATGTAATGAAGGACATTATTGCATCTAATGATACAACATTTAAATAAATAACAAGTTTTTGTTTATTTCAACAATTAAAAAAGTCATCAATAACATAAAACAAACATTTAAACAATCAAGGTTATTAATCAAAAGAGTCTTAAATAAAATAAACAGTTCAAAAACTAAAAAAAAACTTTTCAATTGTATAGCCTTAACCAATTTATCTTCTCTCAATGCTTGTTTTACTCATTAGTACTTTTCATTTTTATCCGGAACACGACTTGGTGATTCTGTAAACATGGACATTTAATTATAAAGTTTTGTTTTATGTTTTTGGCAAAATTTGTGTTATGGTAATCAAATTTTTGATCCTAAGTTTGTTTTTTATATTTTTCAAGTAAATTTTTGGTGCAAGATTTATTTGTCAAGTAAAATTTAAAAAAGTCGGGTTCGTTATTTTGTTTTTTTCGAGTAAATATTTATAACAAAAAATGAGGGTTAAGCAAAGGAAAAATTATTTAGAAATTATTTGTCAAAAAAATCGGGGCATCCCAGTACAGAGTTTTGAAAAACAGTTTACAAACAAAAATTGTTTAACTTCGCACAGTGCCACCAAAAATTTTTTATTGGAAGTGAATTTTGAAAATTTTGTTCCAACCCATCAAAATTTTGAATGTGGTGGTGGAAAAAAATAATTCCAATAAACAAATAACATTTTGAGGTTTATAGAAATGTTATTATATAAACCTTCAACGATAAATATATAACTTCAGCTACAAAAATAAAGAAGGCAAAAATAGCAACATAAAAATGGCCAATAAAAAATGTAAAAAAGTTTAAAAACATTAAAGATTACTTTTTTCATATTCTTTTATTCTTTTAGACTTCTTTGCAATGTTTAGCAAACATAAATTATTATAACGAGTCAATTAATTATGCACAACTTCTTGTTCTTATCACATTTGTATTTCTGGTTCATTTCATAAAGTTTTGAAATAGTTGTTTGAAGAATGTGGAACTCCCCGTTTCTTTCATGGGTATAACAGTCATACCTCTGATTGACTCATTTCAATGCTTTTCCGTGTTAATAAGAAAAGAGATCTACCGTCATACCTCATACCAAAGTTCATCCCCTGTTAACACTTTCTCAGTCTTTTTTTGACTTTTTGACTATTTATAAAGAACTTTTAGTCTTTTTCTTTTTCCTTCGTAAACGCTTCTCAAGCTCAGTTTCTTCTACTAAATCTACACCCGTCTTTAATAATCGATTCACCCTATTCCAATTAATGTTGTCTAGGAACCTTTCTCCCTTCGATTCTTAGATATTTTTTTCCTCTTCTAAGTATTTGCTACTTCCACCAAGATCTGTACTCAAGTCTGTTTTAATAGAAATTACTTCTCGACCTTTATCACTCAAGTATTCTTGACACCATGCTTTTCCTTACTCCTCGTGTGATCTATGTTGTAAATATTTTATAGATGGAGTTTTCAAAATGTGTAAACTTTTGAGAGAAATTCATTTTTGTTTACTTTTTTATTTTATTTAGAATTTGTTTGACGGTGATTTGTTTATTTTTTATTTATGATAACTAAGTCTTATGTATATTATTACAAATAATTTAAAATGAATTATAATCTTTATAAAGTTTATTATTTTTTATTAAAAAAAACAAAAAGCTTTTTTCAAATTATAATACTAGTTTATATTAATTATAATTTTCTTTGAAAAATTGGCATAAGGTGTAATGACCACACTAAATTTACTGTTATGTTTTATAAATTTATAAAAAAATGGCAATATTTTCATTATTATTAAAAACCACCTTTATCAATCTAAAATTGTATAAATTTGCGGGCACTTGTGATGTTTTAAGAAAATTAGTTATTCTTGGAATTTACAAATTAAAGAAAACCATTAATATAATAATTGTTTTATTATTTTTTATAGCAAATAAATACAAAAACATTTTTTTTATGGAATAATTTCAATTTTTGTATTTTTTATTAAATAATAATATAACTATTATTTACTAATGTAGAGAGGTTTATTATCAGCATATTGTTTACTATATATTATAGTTTTATTTGATTAAATTATTAGATTATTAAATAACGTATATATCCCGGTTTTTAAAGCATTATATTAATTGTCTATTAATATCTTTAATTATTAACATTAATTATAATTATTATTAGTTTTAGTATAATAAAATAAAATAATTACTACTAATTATAATTATTTATATAATATATTTACTACTCGCAGGTTTATGATTTATAATATTTTACTAATGATTGCATTTAATTAATAAATAATTACGGCACTTATATTAAAAATGGTAATTTTAAAAATGATTTTGAATTTTTTGGGTTAAAAAATCTTCCCATTGTTTAAATGAAATTCACTTCCAATAAAAACATACCTTTTGGTGGCACTGCTTCGCATTAAACGTTATATTTTGTAATTTACACTTTAAAAGTTCTCTTTTATACCCTTTTCCATTTTTTGATTATTAAAACTTTAAAAATTTATATTTTACAGATTTTTATTGCGATAAAACTTGTTAATATTAAATGGAAAATTTAATTAAAAAAAATAAAAAAATAAAACCAAGTTATTTTTTTTCTTTTCGAGGTTTCTTTTCATTTGAAATTTTGTTCTTTTCATCCTTTTTGATTTTCATAAGTTTTTCAACACCGAGCCTGTGCTCTCTATCAGTAAAGTTTTCAATGGAGACTCTAACAGTTTGGGTTTCTTTTCTTTTTGGATCCTTACCAAGAAAAGAGCAAACCTCTCTGGCATAAGACATGTCAATTTTTGCAACACCTTTAAGAAGGTCTACAGTGTTGAAGTTGGGGTTAACACGTCTCATGTTTTCCAACTCTTCTTTAGATGGGTGTTGAACCACATATATTATACCAGCCTGTTTGAAGGCGCTGGTAATCGTGTCGCCATCAGACACTACTTCCCATGAGTAAACAAGCTGCCTAATTTTGTCTTCCTCTAAGAGCTTTGCAAATTTTTTCAATGCATTTTTGAACTCGGGTGAGTTCATTTTGAGAATTTTCCCGTTTCTATGGACCTTTTCGTCACACTTTTCATTTTCTTTTTCACTTAATGAAATTTTGTGTAACACCAAATTGTTTTTGTTTGCAAGGAAAGTTTTTTGTTTCCTTAAAATTCCCAGATCCATAGGCTGACACAAATGGAAACTGTGGGGGACTTCCTTTATAATCTCAACGGAATTATCCCGAAATAATGCTGCAATTTCATCACTGAAATAGCCCAAAAAGCCGTCAATAATTAGATACACCTTCGTATCAACTCTCACACCCATTCGGTTTCTTTTTTCCTTAATATTCGGGAAAAACACTTGTTTGAGCCGCATTGTGAATAATTGCGTATTTAGAACACCTGATTTTTGGTATCTAATAATAGCACGACTCTTGAGTTCCACAATTAGCTTGTCTTCGATGGTGAGTCTTTTGGTAACAACAAGGGGTATCATTTTTGTCCCATCTAGACAACCACAACACAAAAGACTCGTTCTAGAACCATCTCTGTCGACTTCGTTAAAAACTTGTTCCCTTGATTCGACTGACACGTAGACAACTCGGGTTCTTGAATAAACCCATTCATTGAATCCAATTTCATCTAAGTTAAAAACAAGCTCACATCTGCAT